CTGTCTGACTGTCTGCTGTCTCTAAACTTCAGGAATGACTCTCTCTCATGCCCTTCCTACCTTTGGATTTGACTCCGCCCTTCCGGGTCAGAACCCCGCCCACTGCAATGATGTCACAGATGATAATGAAACTGGCTCCTCCCCTCTGTCCCCCAGCAAGACTCCGCCCCCTCTCCCCGAGAAGAAACGACACAGTGAGTGAAAACGCAGAGCTGATCAGTAATCAATACACTGGAGTGAGCTCTGAGTTAACCTGTCTGTCTGTCTCTACCTGTCTGTCTTCAGTCCACCAGTACCTCCAGTTCTGTTCGTCCTACACTGATCAGTCAGCAGTCAGTTTCTATCAGAGACACAAAGGCAGGCAGCGAGAGCAGGTGTCACACTCTCACCTGGACACTGACTCCACCCCCTCACCTGAGCAGCTCCCAGCTCCTGCTCTACCACTGAAGAAGAAGCAGCAGGTAAAAATGAGACGATTTAGTCTCTGCCTGATGTTGGCCAGGACTTGATCAGATTGATTTTCTTGTTTTTGATATCATCAGGATTCAGGTGACAGACAGCCTGAGGAAAGTCAGAGCAGAGACAGGTGAGACATTACACCTGTACACACCTGTATACACCTGTATACACCTGTACACACCTGTACACACCTGTATACACCTGTACACACCGGAGATCGTCCAGAGTCTCCACCTCGGAGCTTACAGTCCATTTTACTTTCACAGCCCGCAGCAGGATCCAAGAGTCTGGAGGAGCAGTGAGGAGGAGGTGGATGAGGTGTTACTGACCAACCAGCAGGAGATCCTTCACAGAATCACCATGAAGGCCGAGGTAATGCCCAAACCACAGAACCCTGACCCTGGACTCCTGACTCCTGACTCCTGAACCCTGAACCCTGAATCCAGAACCCTGACTCCTGACGCCTGAACACTGATCCCTGACTCCTGAAACTTGACTCCTGAACCCTGGCTACTGATCCTTGATCCCTGAACCCTGATCCCTGATCCCTGATCCCTAAATCCTGAACCCTGAACTCTGAACCTTGATCCCTGACCCCTGACCCCTGACCCCTGACTCCTGAACCCTGACTCCTGTACCCTGAACCCTGAACCCTGACCTTGAACCCTGAACCCTGAACCCTGACTCCTGAACCCTGAACCCTGAACCCTGACTCCTGAACCCTGAACCCTGAACCCCTGACTCCTGATTCCTGAACCCTGAACCTGAACCCTAACTCCTGATCTCTGAACCCTGACCCCTGATCCCTGAACCTTGATCCCTTACCCCTGACCCCTGACTCCTGA